TGACACGAAAAAGATCCAAAGCCCATAGTTATAATTGCAGCCACTCACTGGAAAAAAAGGAGCAGACAGTTTAAGGTGAACGTATATAATAATATAAGGCAACTTTTTTTTCATTTAAAATACATATAATGAATATTTTGGGATTTCTTTTGAGTTTTCAGTGAATTTTATTCTTTTCATTTTCATTTAACATGTTGCAAAAGAATTCTTTAAGTGATCTTTAATACATTTCTTACTCAACTTTGGCACCGATTAAATCAATATTACATGTATGAAAGAGATAAATTTGAAATTTGTGTTATTATTATTGGCATTTGATGGCTTTATATTTTATTATGTAGGCTTGTTAATCGATTTAGTTTACTCCATGTTGATCACAAGTAAACATGAAAATCAATGTCCCTGGTAACGTTTTTGAAAGACTTAAATTGATTTAGCAGTATTCTTCTAACATAAAAATAGAGGAATAGCATTAATAATGTTTTAACAGAAAGTAAAAGGAGTCAAATTACATGTTCTACTTGTAAACTAAAAGAAAGAAAATATTTCATTTATGCAGGATAAAAAGAAAATGATGAAGAGCCTGCAGTGTCAGTTACCAAAGTCATCTCGCTTATCACAGTATATCGAAGAGAATAGCGTTTACTGTGTAGATTTTATGTTACCTCTCAAGGATTTGGAAACAAGCCTTTTCAACATAGCCTCCAATCAACGATGGAGAGAAAAAATTCCGGAAGAGTGGTGTTCTTTTGGGATAGAAATCTATCAGGACAAACGTTCAAAGAGAATCCAGAAGACCTCAGAAATAACCCAAGTACAAGAAATTAAAAGTAAAGAACAGAGAGGCCCCGGTAAAATTGAGATTTGAAAGGAAATCCTAGATATGCTACGATATTATCACGATGCTGGAAAAGCTTTATATTTTAATGAAAACGGTCTGAAGGAAGAAATGATTATTGACGTACAATGGTTTATTGACGCTTTCAAACATATCATCACAGACGAGCTACATTTCAGAGGAATTCCTGGGACTCAGAGGGAGTGGAATGAATATTACAAAACTGGAAATTTGCAAGACGACCTTTTGTTAGAGATCTGGAGACATAAAGACGAAGAATTGTTTGATTACTTAAAGAAAGATACGAACTACCGTATTAGAGACGCGTCTTTTGAGAAAGATGAACTATATTTACAATATCATAAAAAATCACTTCTCAATTTTATGCAGAGACTTGGATTACTGGCTGCTGGTGGAGAATCCCACTATGTCCCGTGCATGAATCGTAAAGAAATAGAAAAAGAATTTCTGGACCTCATCAAAGAATCGAAGAGTAAATCATCTGTCCTTATTTATCAGTTTGAATTTCTGCCATTTTTCTTGTTCTTTCGTCTTGTTGTTGCTTGTATGCAAGAAGATGGTTGGAATGTTCTAGGAAATCGAGGAACATCTTGCCTCTACAAAAATGCTGCTTTGTTTTCGTATATAGAAAACAACATTGTTTTATCCGTCACTGAAGAATCTATACAACTTCAGGTGTTTTGTCCGATACAAGGACGTCCTTTGGAAACAGAAAAAACATGCATTATTCAAGGAAGAATAGAAGAGCTGTTAAATCATTTAGCAGGAACTTTTCAGAGAAAAATACAGTATGTAAGAGGCTTTAAACGTCGAACAGACAAAGAAGAAGTGATTTCTATCGATATAAAGGAGCATTTCTTACCTGCAAAAGACATTCCTGATAGAGTCATTCAAATGGTGTGTCCTTTGCATTCGATTAATGATCGGCATATCATTGATATCACTGAACTTACCAAATATTGGAAACTGTAGAGAAAGACATCGCCCAATTGTAACAAATTGAAAGAATTCCAAACGTTGCATTTTCGAATACTTCATAAAATTATGGTCTTCGTATACATGTTTTTCCCGTTTTGTCTAAGGTTCGAAAAACTTTTTGAATGCTTTTATATTTGATTGTCTTGCATGTTTTGCTCACTCATTTGAGAATGAAATTTTGCTTAGAATGTGCATCTTTATGTATATTGGCATTCAGTGTTTTGGTATATCATTAGCAGTTTAATCTCCAATTACTCATCACTAAGAATCCGTACAATTACATGAACTGTGTTTTTTATATTTTAAGTCTTCTAGATTAGCGCAATATGTTTACCGATGTATTTTGGATTATTTGTTATTCTTACTTACTATTTTACTATTGTACAGAGTGTACTTTCATTATGCTAAAATCTACATATTTATACAATGTGTAAATTCGGTACTGATAAAAGTGATATGTACCAAAAAAAACGAGATTTTTTATACAAATAAACTAGGAATGCCTGCAGCAAAGTTATTGCTCATTTCTCTAAGAACAACGAACCTTTGTAGAAAGGGTCGTGTCTATAATCGAAATATTCTGATTTCATTTGCAGTGGTTAGAGCATCTGCTCTATAGAATAACGAATTAAGTAGTTGGTCCTTACGTTGCAGGTTTGAATCCCGTTGTTGGACGTGGAGACCGGTCCATCGGATGAGGTCCCGTGTAACAGTAGAGGCTGGCAAGAAAAAGACCCCTCTTTGCTCCAGAGCCCTGCGTGCCGAGCATATGGCAATATTTCCAGCTCTCCACTGGAAGTGGTGGCGTCTCCATATGTGTAAAACATTCTCGAGTGGGACCTTTAACGACATACAATCAATTAATCAATATCGTAATTTCTATAAATAAAATAAATGCGCAACTAGGTTAAGGGCTACCCAAAGGTAGATCAGTGTATGCAGAGCCTCAGGAATTTGATTATGACGTCACAGTGAAATTGTACAAATGAATCTCGGCGAATAAATAATAATTTCCTTTTTCATATACTCTTACATACTTTGATTACTCATAATTATTGTAAATATAAATCAATGTGTAACTTATCTTGTCATTATAACACTATTTGAATGTAAAATCAAAGCCAACTTGATCTGGCTGTACTAACAGATATAACGTCATAGGCTAGTCTCTGTACTTGAGACGCATATAAAGCTATTTATTGGAACTGAAAATATGAAAATTAAATCTAACTCTGCGTGAACTGACTAAAATTGATTCAGATTTTTTAATGTATTAATCAATAGGTCACAGTCTTATTTAATTAATAGCTATAAGGTCTCATATAAAGCCGCAGTCATGCTTTTTATATTAGGAACGTACTACAATCACAGGTAATACCCCTCCAAAATTTCAAAAGTTCAACGATATCCGCTTGATTATAAATTATGATATTTTATACACATGTAGCTATTGTACCTACTATTTTGAAAAGTGCTGGGAGCAAATGTGCGCTGTTGATTTTTTCCGTAATTTTACATTTCTTCAATGCATATAGTGTAAATGCACATAGTTTATCAAAAGTCGGCTAAATTTTATATAATTCCTTGGCATCGAGAATTTGCTCCCAGCACTTTTCGGGTTAAGAAATTTGTTTTAAAGAAAACGCAATTAATTTCATAGTGAAAAATTATCCGTATATCCTTGAACTTTTACGATCTTTGCATCCCGACATTTTTTTTCTAATTTTAATCATGTCACGTGACAAACAGCTGATGTACGTGAAGAAGCTTTGGCCAAGCTCGGTTAAACCCCCATACATACATATACATTAGTATAATTGTCAATGAATTAAAACTCATGCTAATAAAAAAAAATATCAACATTATATAAATTTTTGGAATATTTTAAGCATATTTCCTATGGGCGGCCTTAACCTAGCTGCGTGCTTTTGCTTTTGATAAATACTGGTTAAATAGCAAAAATATACAATGTGATCATGGTAGGCAGATCAGCTGGCATTTTAAAATCAAAAAAATTACAACAATTCCTTTGACGTAATTAGCATAATGCATTTATATATGTTTAGTATATTTAAAATAATAAAGAAGGTAATGTTTTGGTTTTCTTTTGTCCTAAACATTCAAACATTTCAGAAACTGACATTAGTTGAGGTATGATTATAATAAAATGAATGAAAGAATGCGGTATGAAAAAAACCATATTTATAATTGAGACGTAATAAATTAATTAATATTGATAAATTTTCTATTTCAAACAGAAAAAGGTCCAAAAATCCCCCAAAAAACAGTGTCCACAACCTTTTTTTAGTTTTAATTCAGATATCGTATATATAAATACAAGGGTAAATTATTGAAACTAGGTTTTCCCCCAAATCTTTGTCAGATGATACATGTTGTCTGTATTATTTGAAAGAAATTTCACTACAAATATATATGTGGTAAAATACCTATTTTCCACAATTAAAAAAGGTAATAAGGAAAAAATGTGAAAAATGATTTGTATTTTTTTGCATGGTTTTCAATGACTTAAACAGAACGAATTTTATTTTTACTTCACTGAAAACATACTGAAAACGTGTATGGCTTTTATGTTTTTGTTTTTGATTGTTTACATTTTAAGGGTTTAATAAACACTCTGCTCACTCACATAAAAAAGCTTCTTTGCGGTTCTACAAAGGAAATATAAATGCTATGAAAAAAAAAAAAATAATAATTCTAGCATGGTTTGCGGGAAATACTGGACAAAAAAAGACACTTCAACTTGACATTTTTATAGGGATAATAGACATTTATGTCATTAAGAGTAATCTCTTTTATCAGATATCAATGTACCTTTAGATTAAAATATAAAGATTAAACTAAATTATCTTAAATTTTATGATAAATTTAAATAGATGGATATTGAGATAACAAACAGTATTCAATCTCAATGTCCATTAAACAATATAAAAAATAAGAGCAGAAAAACAGGACCTCCGAAATAGAGTTGGGATCAGGTCCCATGGAGGAGGGCATCCCCTTGCCCCCGTCACACCCGCCGTGTGCTTGTTGTCATGATCAGGAGATAACAGGAAAAAATCCTTTAAATTTATTTAAATAATGGACAACAATTGGTATGAAGAACGTCAGTAGCATTTGACTCAATGATAAATTGTATTTGCTGACAATCATTGATCGACCATAGAACTTACGAAATGATGCCTTTAAGCGAGACTGCTGATATTCTTGTTTCATCAACCTGCTTGTCAATTTTATCTGTTTAAGAAATTGCCATACGTAAAGCATGCTCTTGCGTATCGAATCAACTGAGAATATATATCCGATAAGGTGATGAAGGTATATTGCTGCATAAGTAAGGAAATTACATAAATAAAGTAAATCTCTAAAAACTTTTTTAATTGTAATCTGGGATGCATTGTCTAATAACGAACATCTGTATATCAAAAAATATTATGTTGTAAATTAAAGGAAAATAATGTTTATAAGTGTGCAAAAAATAAAATGTTTTTTCCAATAACACATTGATTTTATAAGTCAAACATGGTTGGACAAACATGGAATTTTAAGAAGTGATATGAGATAGTTATACTGATATCAGCAGAATAAAACCTCCAATTTTCTTAAACCTTGTAATGAAATAAATGAAAAGAGTGGCTAACTTTATGTTGCACTCAAGCGAAGTTGGACAGAACTTCAACGACTATATGACAATATGACTATAAAGTGATATTTTGTAAAAATGGACAATAAAATTTTATCACAATCGGCAACATCAAACTTACAACTTTGCAATTTTATATATAACTATTCCATGCGATAATTCACTCCAATTTTTTGACTTTACTGAGAGCTGCTCTTTTTCAAGGAAAATAAACTGTAAATTCAATGGTTTTTGTATTAGTTATTTGAAAAATTGTTAAAATGTTCCGATGGTTCACACATATACCTGGAAGTTATATGAAATGGATACTTGAGTCTCAAAAGACAATACCAAATTTCCAACAATCTTCTGGAATTTCAATCGTAACCAATTGCACTCCGCTGTGAGCAGAGCTATTTTTGTATTCATGTTAAGCAGAATCTGTTCAAATCTGAAAGGAAGAAAAGCTGACCAGGCCTTCAACTAGCAATAAGATATATCGACGACGTATTATGAATTAACAATGGTGGTTTACATTCATATGTGACATGATATATCCTGTAAACTTGAAATTAAAGATATACGGGTCTACAATCTGTTGATACTTGGATTTTTAATAGAAAAAGACGTTATTACATATCTAACAACAAATGTTTATGATAAAGTTGATTACTATGGTTTTTTTTATGTCAACTCCCCTTCCTTATGCAGCAATATATATCTTTGTCATGTTAATCACATAGAGCATTTTCTACATACAATTTCTAAAACGATGAAAGTTATTGACAAAGAAATCGATGACGCAAAAAATCAGTAGCCTCGTTTAAAGTCATCACGTCGGTGATTGATTTTGTCAGCAAATCTCAATTATGTCACATGCTGAGCGACTTTTTTCATACTGAGTTGTTTAGGGATTTATGACAAGGAGAACATGACGGGTGGCCAGGTGCCAGGGAAAGCTTTTTCCTTCATGGAACCCCAAACTACCTCTGAGTTTTGGAGGTCCATGTTTCTCAGCTCTTTTCTGTAGTGTTTTATTGACTTTTTTCTGAAAACTGTTTTTTCCCCCCTATATTTCATTCTTTAACTGTTATTTCCTGAACCAATAATTTTAAAGTTGAATGGACTTTGAGATCCATACTGTTCATCATCTGCACATATTTCATTGGTTAAAAACTGGGAAAAACCGAACTGTGATCAAAAAAGGGGCTTTAAAAATAATCTTTACCAGTCGTACTCGAGCAACAAACGGCTGTAAAGTGGAACAAATCTTGGGCATTCCTTTGCAGTAGCAGATAATAATTTGTAAAAGGTTTTTGAAACAAAGACTTGACAAAGGTTAAACATTTGATTCGTTTAATACAGCTACATTACAATGTAACATAATGGAATAGATCTCTCTAAAAAGAAAAAAAATTAAATTAAGAAAACAACATCTATATCAACTATTTCTATTACTTGTTTTTTAAAAACTTAAGTTTAAAGGGATTTCTGCATCTTATTTTCTCTTTAACAACTAGCCAAAATCCGGAAAGACCAGAATTTAATATTTTAAGGATGGGGGAAAAAAAAGGCAAAGTTTAACCCCTTCACTTCCGTACCAGTCAAATTGACCGGTTGCGCTTTAAAACACGACTTCGCGAAAATAAGATCTCCGTATTATTTTATGGTAGCATGATGGTATATAAACTATTTATCATCTTTTTGGAAATGTTCTCTACTTTTAAAATATCTAAAAAGATTATGTCTTGATTGCCGGTATTTAATCGATTTTACGTTGTGAAGACAAAGGTGACTTTTTGAAAATGGCGTAATTTTCCAAAGCAATTGCCAATTTTCCAGACGATTGACATTTTTTTCCTGATCAA